AAGTGCAGCACATACACAAATGTGCAGGACTGTTGGTCTGCACAGGATCCATACTGTGTCTGGTGCGGCTCTAAAAGAAGGTCAGGGAAACAACATCTGCAGCTGACACCTTCTAACAATTATAAACTTGGTTAAAACATCATTTTCTCTTCCTAGTTGCACATTTGAAGACGAATGCCAAGATTCAGACTGGTTATCCATTCCTGATGATTCTCAACAGAAAATGGTTCCCTACAAAGTTGTAAAGGACAGCACTGGGCAGGTATTTTATTTGTATTTAACCTTTATTTAACCAGGTGATTGGGATTAAGAATCTCTTTTTCAATGAAGACACACATAAAACACAAAGGAAGACAAAATAAACAGCATTTAAAAAAAGAGAAATTTCAATTAGATTGATTAAAAACATTGACATCCTATGGAATTTTCCTCTAATTATTTCATTTTGAATTTAAAATCACATAAGATTAATTATGTAATTTGCAGAGGGTGCAGAATATACAAATGCCCTTTTTTCTCATTTCTGTACAGGCATTTAGGACAGACAGATTAAAGATTTCCTGAGATTCAGAGTACTGTGCTGTAGTTTTATGTGTGATGAAGACATAAAAGTAGCATGGGGTCATACCAAGAATTACCTCATATATAAAGAATTAGCAATGTAAAACCATGCTAATGCAATTTGTAGCCTAAATGAACCACAATAAATACTTACTATTTAATGGCCTGCACAAGAGTTCCCACACAGCAGTGTATGACAGAATTAGTATGTGACATGTTTTCACCCACATTATTTATATCAATAGAGAATAAAAGTGAACCTAATACAGATCCTTGTGGTACACCCCTGCAGATGGATGCACCAGAACATAGACCATCATATTTAATACCTGAGACCTTTCACTAGTGTAGTTTGAGAACCAAGCGAGTGCTTGCTCCCACAGTCATGAGTTAAGCGTAAGGTTTAAAACATAATGGTCAACCGTGTCGTAAGCTTTGGAGTGTTGCACAATGTTACTGCCTGTCAAGTGCAACGGAAATGTCATTGACCACCGTCAGTGCAGCTGTGATAGTGCTATGTTCTTTTCTGAAATCTGATTGATATGTTGATTAAAGGACGTTGGTGTATAAATACTCCTCTCTAATTTTACCCAGTCCTGGCAATTTAGATATTGGCCTGTCGTTATTTCCAACTGTTAGGTCACCCCATTTAATTAAAGGAGAAAAGCAGATTTCCATATCCTTGGTGTTTCCTTATTTTGCACTGGAAGGTTAAAAATGTATGCAAGAGGCTCTGTTACAAAATCAGCTGCCAGCTTCAAAAAGTACAGTTAAATCAAATCAGGTCCTGAGGGTAGAGCTTTTAGAGCTTTTTGAACTTCCTGCTCAGAGAGAGGTACGTTGTTAAAAGACTGACCAGTATACACTGGAAAAGTTTCACTGAGCTCGTCATACAGAGAGCTAAAAGATATGAAATGCTAATTAGAACAAATAATGACTATATCTTTATTTTGTCATGAACAGCAACAGAATCATTGATAATAAACTTAGTTGCAGCTTGAGAGTTACAGCTCACAGAAAGGGATTTATGGCTTTCCAAAAAGTCATTTAGACAAATAATATTTGGATTTGGCTTTGTTGATAAAAGAGGAGCATTTGGTTCTTAGTCGTCGGAAAAAAGCCACTTAGTGGTAGAACCTGCTTACACCCATGAAAAGTATCAGCTAGTACAAGGGAAAACCAGGGTGACCATAGGTTATCACACCCTTTTTGCTCTGTATCTCCTGAACGGGGCACGTGTATTTATTATTTGCATAAAACCGTCATTAAAGAAAGCCCAGTCCAGGCTGTCTCCACATCAGGGGTCAGCTGTATTCTACTCCAGTTAAAATGAAACCAGTCATAATCCAATGATGATGATGACTAAAAAAATGCTCTTATAAATGACATGTGAGACAGGTACGGATTATATACAAGCTTCTAACTACAATCAGTTTTGACTGTCACTAATTTCTCTCACAACACTTCCTTTCTCAGATCACACTTAATATCAAGACACACTTGACTGTGGGCCAGAAGACGCTGTCTAACTTCGCATGTCAATTCTCCACAAGTTCCCGTGAGCTTTGTAGCACAGAAAGCCCTCCTCCACAGTTCCCACAATGCACCTGTATCCTCTCTGATAGCACACTTCCTGCTAAAGGTCAGTGACTTTTGAATTCCCAAAGAATATTTAATCAGTTTCACTCCAATATTTGAAATCTTTGTAAGAGAAGAGTAGAAGACAAACAGTTGTTTGACAACAAAAGGAGAAAAAGCATCAATAGCTTAACATTTCTAGATAACTTCTGCTAAAAACGGTTCAGCCAGTTAGCGCAAAACTAAACATGTGGATGGATAACTTGGAAAGGCGAGTCAGATATAATTAGTTTGCCAAATGGCCAGAGGAGACTGGCATTATCACAGGGGCAAATTCAACATTTCCACAAAGCAGTGATTTGTATCATTGCCAACAACAGCACAATACAACCAGAAATATTAATGGAAGGGCTGGTGCGGGGTACGCTAGAGATGGAAAAATCTCGACAAGCTGACCAACTGTGAGGCCTCACGGTATATATTGTTACATTGCATCCAAACATGTACTGCAGAAAAATATGACGTAGAACTTTTTTTTACTGTAATGTTCATTATACTATTTGCATGTCAGGTCTGGCAGTCACTGTAACAATTAGACTTGGGATGACACAGCTGTTGGAACAACTGAAGCTTACCAACTGTACAGACATCAGGGGACCGCCAACCTCTGTCCTGTAAGTCCACTACCATTTGATAGACATCTATTTACTGTAGAGAAATAATACCCAATATGTTTAAGATGTTAAAGCATCAACA